CCAGGAGCCAGGTACTTCTTCCTGGTCTCTCATGTGGTTGCAGGGACCCAAGCACGTGGGCCACCTTCTTACTGCTTTCCCAGGCTATAGCAGAGAGCTGGATTGAGGAAGTGCAGCCAGGACTCAAACCCATGCCCACATAGGATGCCAGCGCTGCAGGTGGAGGATTAACCTCCTGTGTCATGGAGCTGTCCCCTACTGTAGGTATCCTAATATATACAGTTAAGTATTCAATAGTAAGGACTGAATAAATAATAATAATAATAATGATAGTATTTAATACTATTCAATAGTAAGGATTGAATAAATGATTACATTAAATAATAATAGCAATGAAGCACTATATGTTGAATAATTCAAAGACAGATTTCATGGATCCACAATGGTATTCAATACTAGAAGTGAGAAGAGGACAAACTTTCACTTACAGAAGACTGCAAGATGATACATGTAGAAGCAATAACAAGAATATAAAATTCTCACTTTTCAAACATTGTGAAAACTATTGATGCAGGCATGCAATTAGTACTCAATAAGAAAATGATACTTTTCTAAGTTTTTTGTTTGTTTGTTTGATTCTATTTTTCTGATGGAATGAGTGAGGACCAAACCTGCCTTCTGGGAGTTGGCTGCAGTGCCAATACACTTCTTCATGAAGTACACTCAAGGAAAACAGTTTCCACTGTCTGGTCATCTACGGCCCACTGAGTCCCAGAAAATTAGTGGTAAAAAAACATTTAATGTTGCTGTGTTTATGGCACATTTTAGAGTAAAAAGAAACTCTAAAACTATTAAAATTATATAGTTTTTAAAATATCTATTAAGCAATAAATCATTATAGCTGTGGACCCTATAAAATTGGTACATTTAAAAATTGTTTTCAAAACTAAATTTTCCTTTAATTGATAAAATTATAATCATTTATACATTAAAACATTTAAATTCACAGTTATGTTTTGAGCATTAAAATTCATAGTAAGAATATTTATGCCTGGTACAATCTCACAAAATTTAATTAATTATTTGCTTGTTTCTCCTCAATATGACCACGTTATTTTTTTCATGACATTTCCTAACATATTTTGCAGATATATATTACAGTTAATACATTTAAAGTTTCAGGTAGATTTTAAAACATATCTAGGATGAATTTGGAATTTGTGCTTAATTTACTTAAGTTAAAGGATTCTCCTGTATTTAAATATATATATTAAAATAGAAACTTATGTTGTTTTCTTTTCCCTAAATGTCTACAATAGTTAATTAAAATTTACCTCTTGTCCAGTTTTGATTAATGGGATTTTTCTTTTTTTAATATTTGATTAATAAAATTTTTCTTTGTAATAAACATATAATTAAATTTTCAGTAAATGTCATGCTTAAAATTAAAGAGAATGACTTAAGTAATAAAGTATGGATTGATCCTGCTTAAATTTATATTATCTCAACAGACAGTCTGCTTCCTTTAGTATTTATAAGCCTATTTAAAAAGAAAAATACCCATTAGTATCTTGATTATAAATTGTTGGTCTATGTCTTCAAATAGATCATTTTATCCCTTTAATCTTTATATAGTATTTCTTATAATACACATGAGCACTCAAAATTCTTGGGTGAATTTAAAAACATAAAAATTTAATCATTCACATATAAAAAAATCCTTACATAAAAGTAGTTTAAGGGCCAGCATTGCAGAATAACAGGTTAAACCTCCCCTGAGATGCCAATATCACATATGGACACATAATTCGAGTGCTAGCTGCTCTATCTCTTATCTAGGTTTCTGTTGATGCACCTGGGAAAGCAGTAGAGGATGGCCCAAGTGCTTGGGCCCCTGCACACACGTGAGAGACCTGAAACAATCTATAGGCTCTTGGCTCCAGTCTGGACCGGCCCTGGCCATTGCTGTCATTTGGGGAGTGAACCAGCAGATGGAAAATCTCTCTCTGTCTTTCTCACCTCCTCTGTCTGAAACTCTGCCTTTCAAATAAAAAAAAAAAATCTTTAAAAATACAGTTTAATTGAAGTTTTTGTCTGTGTATCATGTTTTCTTCATGGTTGTTTTCCTACTGATTCTTTTGTGGTTTCCTTCACATCTTACAGCAGTATATTATAATGGTACATGTGTCATTATTTTTTCTGCCATGCTGGCTTAGCTTGTATGAATGTAACATTTCTTTTTCTTTTTTTCTTAATTTAATTTATTTTCTTTTCTTATTATTTATTTATTTACCTTTTTTTTTTTTTAAGGAATACAGACTTCAAGCATTTCATAAGTACAACTTTAGGAATATAGTGATTCTTCCCACAATACCCACCCTCCCAATCACTCTCCCACTCCATCTCCTCCTCCCTCTCCCATTCCTAGTCCCATTTTCCACTAAGATCCATTTTCAATTGACTTTATTCACAGAAGATCAACTCTATGCTAAGTAAAGAGTTCAACAATTTTCCCGGTTTAAAAAAAAATGTTCCTCAACAGTCAAGACAAGGGCTGTTCAAAGTCATTGAATCTTGAAGTTAATTTCACTTCTTCTGTTTGTTTATTTTATTATAGAAAATTAATTAACTTTAACGAAGCACCCAAGAATGATACATCTTTCGGGAGCACTTAGATATAGTTATAATGCAACTCTTTGAGGACAGAGGTTTTGCATGGGAAGTTAGTGCACAGTGACTCTTGTTAATTTAAGAATTAACACTCTTATGCATGATGTCAGTGACTACCCTAGGCTCTTGACATGAGCTGCCTAGTCTATGGAAGCCTTTTGGAATCCACAACTCTGTCAGTATTTAGAAAAGGCCATAAGCAAAAGAGAAGTTCTCTCCTCCCTTCAGAGAAAAGTACCTCCTTTTTTGATGACCACTTCTTTCCACTGGGGTCTCACCCACGGAGATCTTTCATGTAGGATATTACTTGCCTCAGTGCCTTGACTTTCCATGGCCAAAATGCTCTCGTGGGCTTTTCAGCCAAACCAGAATGCCTAAAGGGTTGATTCTGAGGTCAGAGTGCTATTTAAAGCAGTTGTCATCCTATGAGTCTGCTGAGTGGACTGCTTCCCATGTTGGAGCATTCACCCCTTTTGAATATTATTATTACCAGACCCTTAATCCTACCCATATGATTACTTTAACACTTAAGGTGGTATTTTTAGCACCCAGCTTAAGGGAATTTGGGCTTCCATGGCAAGTTTTTAAGCCATACCCTTAAAATTAAGTACATAGGAATGTATGCAGAACTATACAGCTTCACAGTTAAAAATTTTGTTATTCGGATTTCTGAGATATCTCCATACTGTCTTCCATAGTTGCTTTACATATCCACCAAGAGTGGATTAGGGTACCTTTTTCCCCACATCCTACCAGCATTTGTTATTTGTTAATTTCTGTATGAAAGCCATTCTAATTAGGGTGAGGTGAAACCTCATTGTGGTTTTGATTTACATTTCTCTGATGACTGGTGATCCTGAACATTTTTTCATGTGTCTGTTAACCATTTGGATTTCCTCCTTTGGAAAATGTCAACAAATGGTGCTGGGAAACTGGATTTCTGCATGCAGAAGTATGAAGTAAGACCCCTACCTTACAGCTTACACAAAAATCTACTCAACATGGATTAAAGACCTAAATCTATGACCTGACACCATCATATTATTAGAGAGCATTGGGGAAACCCTGCAAGACATTGACATAGGCAAAGACTTCTTGAAAAAGACCCCAGAAGTACAAGCAATCAAGCCAAAATTCACAAATGAGATTACATCAATCTGAGATGCTTTTGTACTGGCAAAAAAACATTCAGGAAAATGAAGAGGCAACCGACAGAATGATAGAAATTATTTGCAAACTATTCAACTGATAAAGGATTAATTACCAGAATATATAAAGAGATCAACAAACTCAACAACAGCAAAACAAACAACTCAGTGAAGAAATGGGCAAAGGACATAAATGGACATTTTTCAAAAGAGGAACTCCAAATGGCCAACATTTATTTCTCATAGATGCTTCTGTGAGATTTTTGCAAGCAGGAATGAATATTAAACCCGAAATCATAAAGCAAAGTAGAATAGTACAATACCTACAGGCATTGGTGTCAGACACGCAGACCAGGGTTCAAATCTGAGGTTTTTCACTTTTGTACCTACAGAGAAATCACATCCGTAAAATGTGAATAGTAAAGGCTAAAGGATAATTTACCTAGCAGATGCTTACTAAATGGTGACGGTTATAATTTTCATCCTTATCATCCTAGAGTATAACCCAAAGGAAATCATGTGAAAACACAATGGCAAACTGATTGAATGGGAATTCACACTGGTAACCAGATTCAAGGCTTGTTTATTTCTAATAAAACAATAATGTTAGCAATGCAACTTTTCTTGTCACATGGAAAATATGCCAGAAAAGGATAGATGAAAAGAGAAAGCATGAGACTAGCCCACTTATTTCTGTTGCCACTTTTAATCACTAGGCTGGATGTCGGGAATGAAGACAATAAAACAGAGCAAAATCAAACAAACAAACAAAACAAAACAAATCAAAGAAACAATTTGAGGAATTCAAAGACTTCTATCGCAGAGGAAGAGCTTGGATTTAAAACAAGCCGTTAATATTTTCCAGTGCACTTTTTTGGTTATTTAGGGAGTCAACATCTCTGGGAAAGAAAAGCAAAGATTGTCAGAAAATAAGTTGGGAGCAAGAAAGGATTTTATCAAGAAGAAAAATGTTCCATAGCCATCTATTTTAAGATTTCATTAAATGTCACAATTCAGATTAAAGAAAGAATGGTGTGTCATTATATTGGACAGTTTTGTTTTTTTTTTTTTTTTAATTTTTCTCTTCTCTTTTAGGGGAGAAAAAGGCCCTGTCTTTCCTTGTGGGGGGGGGGGGCTGGCAAAAGATTTATGAACTCTGTTCAGCATTGCTTTAGCATGCTGTTTGAAATTCACATGCTTGAACAAATGAATACATATTCATCAATTCTGCTTCCTTTCTAGGTGCCTCCTATACTGCTTGATAAGCAATTCTCTGAATTCACTCCGGACATCACACCAATCATTTTGGCAGCCCATACAAATAATTATGAGATAATAAAACTTTTGGTTCAGAAAGGAGTCTCGGTGCCCCGACCCCATGAGGTTCGTTGTAACTGTGTAGAATGTGTCTCCAGTTCAGATGTGGACAGCCTCCGTCACTCACGCTCCAGACTCAACATCTACAAGGCCTTGGCCAGCCCCTCGCTCATTGCACTGTCAAGTGAAGATCCTTTTCTCACAGCCTTTCAGCTAAGTTGGGAACTTCAAGAACTGAGTAAGGTAGAAAATGAATTCAAGTCAGAGTATGAGGAGCTGTCACGACAGTGCAAACAGTTTGCAAAGGACCTCTTGGATCAGACAAGAAGTTCCAGAGAACTGGAAATCATTCTTAATTACCGAGATGACAATAGTTTGATAGAAGAGCAAAGTGGAAATGATCTTGCAAGACTAAAATTGGCCATTAAGTACCGTCAAAAGGAGGTGAGTGTTGCCGCACTTGATTCATCCAAGTGCCATAGAATTTAATCACAATGAAGTAAACTGCTGCTCACACAATTCGTTTTGGATTTTAGAGCATCTTCTATTTAAATGTTAGTGGATGATGTTCATTGGTTGCCAGTTTAATAACTATGAATCACACTGAAGAATGGAATAAAGAGTTTAATAATTGGTAATGGTTTCTGACATCTGTGTTAAAATGTACACATTTACTTGTGGTTCAGTGGAAAACTCAGGAGTTAGAATTTTCAGACTGAGAGATCTGGCTCTACAATTAATAAGTGTTATATGTTTAGACTGCAACACACATATTTCTTTGAGCTTCATTTTTCTCATCTACTTAATGGACTTAATATTTATAATGTTTGATATATGTATATTTACATCAGAAATATTTTTCTCACAAATTCATAGGGAGCATACAATCTGTGGATGTGTGTAAGGGCTTCTAGAAAATTATATGGTATTATGGTAATAAAATGTGTTATTAAAGTTATTGATAAGGAAAATGTCTTTAACCCAATAGCAGATGAAATTTGCTCAGCTCTCATCTCTGGGTTAGTACCTTGATTTGTTAGGAATCAGAATCTAAACAAGGTGATTGCAAGAGAGTAGTAATTTTCTCATGAAATTTTCATGGATTTGAATATTGAGCAGTAAAATCTCGGACTCCTTACACTTATCACCCAGTACTATTTTTTTGTGTTTCCATTTCAATTTGAATGAGTTCTCAAAACACTGTTTTCTTCTATCTCCAGAAAATACTGGTTCTGTATTCACACTTGAATGACAGTAATTATCTATTCCATAACAATAGTTGGAAAAATATATAAGATTTTAAAAGAGTGATTAAAAAAGACTTCTGAATTTGAAAACATACTCAGTCTCTTTTGAACTTGGACTTGATTATTCCCTATTAGCCCGGACTACTTTGTCCGTGCTAGTTATTAAATAATTAAGACTCAAAAAACTTGAGTTCGGTTGATAGTTTTTACTGTAGTTCTTTTTTTTTTTTTCCCTGTAGTTCTTTGACTGACTGTGTTAATCCAGTTGTCATGGTAGCCTGAAACCAGTTGAAAGTTTTTTATCCTAACAATGAAGGGAAGAGCTCCCATGTGCATTTCCTCTGACTCTTAAATCACATATGCTGGTTTGGGACTATGTCAACAGTACTGACTCATTGTTTAGGTTCCAGTGTTTAGGGCTCAGAGACTTAGTATCTCAGGGCTAAAATAATTTTAGTTTGCAGCCATAAGATAAATATTCAAGATAAAATGACAAAACTTCACATGATTAAATATTTTGAAAGCACTAGATATGAAGATGAAGTCATTGCATGCATTGGAGTTGATACCACCAGGTAAGACAATGATACGGCTGTAGAATTTGTACCAGTCTGATGCAAAGATCCATTATTCGCAACTGCTTTGCTTATCTTCATTTATTTTCCTTTAGAGAGGGGTGTGTTAGAGATTGACACGATTGTTACAATGATCTTCTCTTATTTTGCTTTTAAATTCACTATTTTCCATGAACTTATCATTTTTAAACATTTATGTATTTATACATACAACCAGTGTGACAGATGGAGAGAGAGAGAACTTTCATCCATTGGATCACTCCCCAAATGCCTGTAGTAGCCAGAGCTAAGAGCTCAAACTAGGAGCCAGGGATTCTACCTGGGTGGAATCGAGGAATTCGACCCCTGTGGTTGGTAGGAGTCCAATTGCTAGGAACATCATCTGATGCCTCCCAGACACATTGACAGGAAGCTGAATCAGAAGCAGAGGCAGAACTGGATGCATTGGGATATGGGATGTAGGTGTCCTAAGCAGCAATTTAACCCTTTGCACCAAAGTGCCTCATTTCTCTCATACTATAGCTACTCAGTGTTGTTAGCATCCCGCAAGTGATGAAGAAAATAAAATTCCCAAGATATCAAGCCACAAAGTCAAACAAAAAAGAAAATAAACCAACTTCCTCTACTCACTTGTTGAACTGCTCTCTTCATAGTCAATGAATCAAGTCAACATTATTCTTTGTCTACACTGATTTTGCTCTGACATCATCAATGATTTCACTTTGTCTTTGGTCACAATGACATTTGTGAAGATCCCGAAATAAAATACTCATGAACTCCTTTATCATGCCCTCATAGCAGGAGGCTATAAAGGATATTTGAGAGGCCAGTGCTGTGGCACAGTAGGTTAATCCTCCGGCTATGGCATCAGCATCCCATGTGGGCACCCTTTCTAGCCCTGGCTTCTCTTCCTCTGATCCAGCTCTCTGCTAAGGCCTGGGAGAGCAGTTGAAGATGGCCCAAGTGCTTGGGCCCCTGCATCCACGTGGAAGACCTGGAAGAAGCTCCTGACTCCCAGTTTTGGATCAGTCCAGCTCTGGCCATTGCTGCTATTTGAGGAGTGAACCAGCAGATGGAAGATCTTTCTCTGTCTCTCCTTCTCATTGTCTGTATATCTACCTCGCAAATGAATAAATAAAATCATAAAAATGGAACATTCCATCAAGTGAAACTTGTCAAATTCTGAAGTTTACCAAATTCACAGTTGTCCAAAAAACAGGAAAATTAATGTATATGTCACACATATAAATATGTTTATTTTTTGCTAACAAATAATTTTTAACACTTTATTAATTTATTCATTTGTTAATTGTTCAACATATTCAAAAGTTGCTCACAAAGTGCACGGGCAAGGCATATTGTAGAAATACTTTACATCAGGCACTGGGTTCTAACCCAGTTGCTCCTCTTCCAGTCCAGCTCTCTGCTGTGGCCTGGGATAGCAGTGGAGGATAGGCCAAGTCCTTGGGCCCCTGCACCCACATGGGAGACCAGGAAGAGACTTCTGGCTCCTTGCTTCAGATCGGTGTAGCTCTGGCCATTGTGGCCATTTGGAAAGTGAACCAATGGAAGGAAGACCTTTCTCTCTGTCTCTCTCTCACTGTCTGTAAACTCTACCTGTCAAATAAAAAAAAAAAAAAATGAAAGCAATAGCTTCCTCAAAAGGAAGTGCTTAAAAAAAGAAATATTTTACATCAATTTCAAAAAAATTTCACTTAATAAGATTATTTTTAATGACATTTCCATGAACTTTTTGAAGTCCTCTCATTTTTCACAGAACACAATCAAGGCACTATGTGCACTTGGTGCTCTTTGGCAACACATCCCGGCTCTTGAAGAACTTATAGTTTTTAAAAAGGAACAATAAAAAATTTAAGTACATTTTGCTTTGTTTTGTTCCTAAACTTCTGCAGATATTCATCCCTACTGAATATATGTTCTTTGTTTAGATTCTTTTGTCTAGTTGGAGAATATGCAAGAGAACTTAGCTTCAAAGTCTATTGAACTAACAGTTACAAACCAAGATGTCAGAAATAAAGCAACAGTGGGCCTTTGACAGTTTCTCACACTTCTTTCAAGCTGCTTCTATTTTTTATTAATATAAAGTTGTAGATTTAGGGTGTAATAGAACCTAATGCAACAAGGTGAAGGATGGCTATAAACGTATTGTATGTAACAAGAAAATAGGATTTAGATATTACACTTGCATTTTCCCCTTTCATTGTTTGACATTTTTATGAAGAAAAAATTAAAACAAAATCATTTATTCAATATCAGACAGTGTATTTCCTTTATGTTAATGATTTTCTCAAAGAAAAGTAACTTGTATGTATGTATGTAAAAAAGTATGTAAAAAAGTAAATTGTATGTCTGTTAGCCTTTAAAAATTAAGGCATAGTAATTTATACCTATGTGTATTCTTTGAAATATGTTTTGCTTTATTAAATCCATTTCTATATTATACAGAAATTATTCTTTTACATACAATACCTTTATTTTAGACATGCAAGAAAAGCTATTTCATAATCTACTGATTTAAAATAAGCAGCTGTACACACATAACAAAGGCAGCATTTTGTCTCAGTTCAGCACACAGAGTTCAAAGCAAAAAAAAAAAAACATGAGACAATGAATATTTATTTGTTTTTAATTTTGCATAAATATTCAGAAATTTTTCACCTCAAAACATGGGATTTAAAATTTTCTAGTTGGGGAAGCCATGTGGCACTGAGATGGAGCCACTGCTTGGGATGTCTGCATCCCATATCAATCAGAGAGCTGAGGTCTGAGTCCTTTATATTCAGTTTCCTTCTCAGCTCATGCTAGGAGACAGCAGGTGATGGCTCAAGTACGAGGGTCCCTGCCACCCATAAGAGAAAGCTTGATGGAGTTTTAGGTTGCTGACTATGGCCTGGCAAAGCCGTGGCTGTGCTGGGCATTTGGGGAGTGATCCAGCTGATAAAAGATTCCTCTCTCCTCTCTCTCTCTCTCCTCTCTCTCTATTTATCTCATCTGTGGTGCATCTCTCATTGTTTGGAATAGTTTCTCTTTAACCTTCAGGTGGCTAAGTCCTGTCACTCTTTAGAGCTCATCTTTTTAAATTTTTTTAAAGATGTATTTATGCTTTACCTGCTATGTTACAGCGCCAGCACCTAGAGCTTATCTTACATCTTGCTGTTTCCAAAGCCATTATATGAAGTCAGCTTTTCCATGCACTCTCTGGGATAAATGTCCTCAATGTACATGTTCTACAATGTGTTGCTTTATTACATTTCCCCCTCCTGTAGGCTGCGAATGTCATGAATATGTCATTATTCATACAGTAGCACCTGAAATAAAGAAGGTGCTCAGTAAGTAATACACCCAAGTAAAGCTATGGAATCTCTTAGTCCTGGTGCATTCTTTGCATAGTCCTTTGCCTGATGAAATTATACTGCTTGTTTGTTGGTTTGTTTGTTTGCTTGATTATTTTTTAATATTTATTTTATTTATTCGAAAGGCAGTGTTACAGTGAGAGGGGAAGAGAGAGAGAATCTTCCACCTTCTGGTTCATTCCCCAAATGGCCACAACAGCCAGGGCTGTGCCAGACTAAAAGCAGGAGCCAGGACTTTCAAGTCACCC